TAACAGTATTAATCTAATAATAGTAATAATAATAATAATAATAACAACTGTAACAGTGTTAATGAACCTAATAATTAGTTATTTGTGTTAATTACTGATCAGGTCTCAGAGCTGTTGTTGTTGTTGAGAGTTAAACTGTGACAGTTTATAAGCTAATTAGCCTGCAGTTAATCAAACATTGATCAGCACTGATGAGTACTGGTACCTGAGGAGGTGGAGGAGGAGGAAGGGTCAGACAGCAGCGGCAGCAGCAACAGAAGGAGGACGTAGACCAAAGAGAATCCATTATACCGCAACACACAGGCTGTGAACACATCAATCAATGTATCAATACATTAATAAATACATCAATACATTGATCAATACAACAATACATCAATCAATCAATACAATGATCAATACAATACATTGATCAATACATCAATCAATCAATACATTCATCAATACAGCAATACATTCATCAATACACAATACATCACTCAATCAATACATTCATCAATACATCAGTCAATCAATACATCCATACATTGATCAATACATCAATCAATCAATACATCAATACATTGATCAATACATCAATGACGACCTACATCTTTTCTTCATCATCAATATTCACTGAATTAGAAAGGAGCGGCTCACCATCATGATGGTCACTATCATCATCATCACTATCATCATCACCATCACCACCATCAAAATCACCATCACCATCATCATCATCATCATCACCATCATCATCACCATCACCATCAAAATCACCATCACCATCATCATCATCATCACCGTCATCATCACCATCACCACCATCAAAATCACCATCATCATCATCATCACCATCATCATTATCATCATCATCATCACCACCATCATCACCATCAAAATCACCATCACCATCATCATCATCATCATCACCATCACCACCATCAAAATCACCATCACCATCATCATCATCATCATCACCACCATTATCATCATCACCATCATCATTATCATCATCATCATCATCACCATTATCATCATCACCATCATCATTATCATCATCATCATCATCACCATTATCATCATCACCATCATCATGACCATCACCATCATCACCATCATCATCACCACCATCAAAATCACCATCATTACCATCATCATCATCATTACCACCATCATCATCATCATCACCATTATCATCATCACGATCATAACCATTATCATCACCTTCATCATCACAATCACAACCATCATCATCAACTTCATCATCACCATCACCACCATCATCATCACCATCATCACCATCGCCACCATCATCACCATCATCAACATCATCACCATTATCATCATCACGATCACAACCATCATCATCACCATCATCATCATCATCATCATCATCATCAACATCATCACCATTATCATCATCACGATCACAACCATCATCATCACCATCATCATCATCATCATCATCATCAACATCATCACCATTATCATCATCACGATCCCAACCATCATCACCTTCATCATGACCATCACCACCATCATCATCACCACCATCATCATCACCACCACCATCATCAATCAATCAATCAATAAATTTTATTTATAAAGCCCAATATCAAAAATCACAATTTGCCTCACAGGGCTTTACAGCATACAACATCCCTCTGTCCTTAGGACCCTCACAGCTGATCAGGAAAAAATGGTAGAAACCTCAGGAAGAGCAACTGAGGAGGGATCCCTCTTCCAGGACGGACAGACGTACAATAGATGTCGTACAGAACAGATCAACATAATATAGTATGACACAATGAGACAGAGAGAGAGATGCAGGACAGACGGTAATGACAGTAGCTTACAACAACATTAATAAAAGTAATAATATTATAGTTACAGTTCTGGCTACTGTGGTACAATATGTTGAAAGTATATATTAATATCTGACAGTATACATGTGTGATAATAGTCATATGTGTATAATAACAGTAGAAGTATGACTAATGACTAATGATGGCAGCAGCAGCAGGAGGCATCTGGCAGGACCACGGCAGCAGCACAACCACACACGTCACGCTGTCCAGCCACTGCTGTGATATGAGTTAATCTGAGAGACAGTGGAGCACAAAGGCTCCGGAGAAGAAGCCGAGTTAGTGACATCCAGAATGGCCGAGTTAGCAAGATGCAGTAATAGAATACGAGAGAGAGAGAGAGAGAGAGAAGGTGCCCGGTGTATTATAGGGGGGTCCTCCAGCAGACTAGGCCTAAGTCAGCCTAACTAGGGGCTGGTACAGGGCAAGCCTGAGCCAGCCCTAACTATAAGCTTAACTTATAAGCCTAACTAATAAGCTTTATCAAAGAGGAAAGTCTTAAGTCTAGTCTTAAATGTGGAGACGGTGTCTGCCTCCCGGACCATAACAGGAAGATGATTCCACAGGAGAGGAGCCTGATAACTGAAGGCTCTGGCTCCTGATCTACTTTTGGAGACTTTAGGGACCACGAGTAACCCTGCGTTCTCAGAGCGCAGTGTTCTGGTGGGATAATATGGCACTATGAGCTCTCTAAGATATGACGGAGCTTGACCATTTAGAGCTTTATAAGTTAACAGTAGGATTTTAAATTTAATTCTGGATTTTACAGCCAGTGCACCATCATCACCATCATCAACATCATCATCATCATCATCACCATCATCACCATCATCATGATCACCATCATCATCATCACCATCATCACCATCATCATCATCACCATCATCATCACCATCATCACCATCATCATCATCACCATCATCACTATAATAAATTATAATAACTTTATTTATAAAGCGTGTGTAAGTGCTGTACAGGTGAATTAAAACAGTACATGTACAAATAGAGACAAGTACAAATAGCATAAAACAGTTTCAAAAATAAACACACAAACAACATTGATAAAAACACAACACACACCTAAAACAGGACATCACAGGAGGAGCAAACCACCCATTACTCAAACACAACAGTAAACAAGTGGGTCTTTAACTTTGCTTTAAAAACCTCAATTGAGCAGGCCTGTCTGATGTCAAGAGGAAGACTATTCCACAGAGTCGGTGCACGGAAAGAAAAAGCACGTTCACCGACCGTCTTCTTTTTTACTTTAGGGACAAGCAGATGGCCACTCCCCTCGGAGCGCAGAGACAGTGTAGGCTAGGGCTTTGACGGTATGTATTTTTTCTCACAGCGGTGACAGAGTGACGTATCACCGCGGTATGGTGGTGATACGTCACGCTAATTCAAAAAACGGCAGTCTGTTTTAGTTGTTTTAGAAGAGGTTTGATACATGAACTACAGTGTGTTTACGTCCTGCGTGGAGGGATACACCGGTGAGCAACAGCTGCAGCTGGCTCTGGGACAGGTACGCCAGGTCGCTCGGTAAAAGCAAACAAAGACACAATACGGATGATATTACTCACGTGACTGAAAGCTGTCCATCAGCTCCTGCAGGCCTGGGCGTTTTTTCCAGTTTATCTTAGTGATTGCTGCAAAGTTTTCACTCCTTGTGATGCACTCTCTGCGGCGGTTTTCCTCCTGATGGTATATCTCCCCAATGATGGTAGCACCGAATCCCATTCTGTGCAGCAAAATGATTCCACCTCCGTAGGAATATGTTAGCTAGCCCCGCAGCTACACCACCAGTCCTCCCCTTGGCCCATTGCTGCTCCGCCGCTCCGGAGGATTCAGCCTCTCTTCTCGCCCGCTCAGTATCCAACACCTGGGAGTTCCTCATCTGTGTACTCCGGCTCAAACAGGTATGGCTCTGGATCTGTGTCCGCTACAAGAAACTCCTCAAAATCACGTTCAAAGTCGTCCATTGCAGCAACTATAGTCCGGAGATATTGCTAGGCTAAATAAACAGCTGAGTTTTGTTTACAGGCTACGTCTGCGCCTGCTCACCGGTGTATCCATCCACGGATCACAGCGCCGGACGTACTGACCCCAATGCTAACCGCTGAGACCCAGCCACTGGACGTACAGACACAAAAACGATATCCATCATGTTGTCTCAATATGAAAATAATAGCAAAAGGGCATAACTCGCAAATCATCGGAGTATTCTTTTAACATTTGGCTTGGGAACCAGATCCGCCGCCATGATGAATCAGCTTTTTATTTTCTTGTTTTTTTTTGTGCGGTGATGACCTCTTCACCGTGGTACGCATCACATGACTGCAGTATTGCGGTATTGAGGTTATTGTCACAGCCCTAGTGTAGGCACATAAATATCCACAAGTTCTGTTAAATATACAGGTGCCAGACCGTTTACAGCTTTATATGTTAGTAACAGCACCTTAAAGTCCGCTCTAACGTGAACAGGGAGCCAGTGAAGAGAGGCCAGCACAGGAGTAATATGATCATACCTAGATGATCCAGTTAAAATATGAGCTGCCGCATTCTGAACCAACTGCAGACCTCGAAAACTCTTCCTAGGCAACCCTGATAAAAGAATGTTACAATAATCCAACCTGGATGTCACAAATGCATGAATAAGAGTCTCAGCATCTTTTACTGAAAGGACTGATCTGATCTTTGCAATTTTTCTGAGGTGAAAGAAGGCATGTCATGTCACCTCTTTTACATGCAAGTCAAATGAAAGGGTCTGATCAAAATGTACACCAAGGTTCTTTACCTTGTCCTTGCCATGAAAGAAATAGTCATCAAGAGATAGGGTGAAATGATCGAACTGGTGACTAAATTTTGACGGTCCAATAGCTTTCATCTCAGTCTTAGCTGAGTTAAGTAGCAGAAAGTTTGTTGATAGCCAGGACCTCACCGCAGCCAAACAGGATGTAAGTTTATCAGAAACAGACCCATTTCCTGCAATGACCGGTATTTATAATTGCAAATAATCAGCATAGCAATGAAAAACAATCCCAACAGAGCGCATGATCTGACCTAGTGGTTCCAGGTACATTGAAAACAACAGTGGACCCAGGACAGAGCCCTGTGGGACCCCGTGCTTAACAGAACAAGAGTCAGATAATACGTTGTTATAAAGAATACGTTGAGATCTCTCTGACAGGTAAGATCTCAACCAATTAAGCACCTGACCCGAGATGCCAAAATAATTCTCGAGCCTGTCCAAAAGTATACAGTGATCCACAGTATCAAATGCGGCACTAAGGTCCAACAACAGTAGAACAGATGTTGAGTCTGAATATAAAACCAATAATAAGTCATTAACCACTTTTGTAAGTGCTGTTTCTGTAGAATGGTTAGCACGGAAAGCAGACTGCAATGGCTCAAATAAATCATTCAATGACAGAAGTTGGTTGGAGACCACTTTCTCAAAGATTTTCAATAAAAAAACTACATTTGAGACAGGTCTATAATTGGCAAGAGAGTTTACATCCAGATTTGTTTTTTTCAATAAGGGTTTAACCACAGCAGACTTAAAACAAGCTGGAAAAACTCCAGTGGACAGGGAGAGGTTAAGGATAGCTAAAACATAAGATCCTAATGTTGACCAAAGCTCCTTAATAACCCATGCTGGTAGCGGGTCCAGAGAGCAAGTGGTACTTCTTGCGGCCATAACAACCTTAGTTAGAGCAGCCAGAGAAGTAGACTCAAACTCAAAGAAACCTTGTCCTGCAAAAGTGGGCAAAGTGGCAACACAGTCTGATCCCCCAGCCAGTGACTGGGGTATTCTAGATCTAATATCCTCTACTGTATCATTAAAATACTCCATAAAATCCTGTGCAGAGAGGTCAGTGCTGATGACTGGCTGCTGATCCTGTCTTAGTCTAGAAACAGTGTCAAATAAAAGCCTTGGGTTGTGCTTATTATTCGTAATCAAAATAGAATAATATGCAGCCTTCGCCGCAGACATCTCAGACTGGTAAATGGTCAGACTTTCATGCCGTGCTTGATAATTAACTTCCAGCTTAGAGTGACGCCACTGGCGTTCATGTTTTCTATGGCTCTTTCTGAGAAGTAATAAGTCGTCACTTAGCCAGGGCATAGGATTTTTCTGAGGACCCCTCCGAGTCTTAACTGGAGCAGCTGAATCCAATAGTACCCACAGAGCATTATTAAAATTTTCAGTAAGACATTCGACTGAAAAAGACTGACTAAAAACTAAGTCGACCACATCCGGCAGTCTCAAGTTAAAATCATTTAATGCTCTGGGGCCAATGTAACGGGATGACCTCAGAATTGAGGATGTTCTCCCAGAGACAAGAAGGCAAGGGATAAAAATATCAAATAATATCAACGAGTGATCCAAGATTGGCAGAACACAAATTTCATTAATTGACACAGACAAGCCATAACCTAACACCAGATCTAATGTATGTCCACGCTAATATGTTGGTCCAGATACAAACTGTGTGAGATTAAAAGACACTTTAAAAAGTCTTTTACCAGTGGCTTGTCATCACAACAAATGTGAATATTAAAGTCACCAACAATCAATATCCTCTCATATTGCAAAATAAATCTGGATAAAAAGTCTGCAAACTCTGAGATGATGTTATCATTGTACTTTGGTGGACGATAGATCACAGCAATCAAAACAACTGAAGGTTTGTTTATCGTGAAAAGCTGTAATTCAAAGCTGGTGTAGGGATCACAATAAGAAATCAGTTTGCATTTAAAACTGTCATTAAAAAATGAGGCAACTCCCCTTCCTCTTCTAGTCAGTCTAGGCGAGCTGAAAAAGCTGCTGTCAGGAGGACAAAGTTCCATTAGGGGCACTACTTCCCCATCACGCATCCAAGTCTCTGTGATAAACAGAGAGCATGGGAGTTACAAAAGCCATGAAGGACAAAAGTCTTATTAGATAGGGACCGGGCATTTAGGAGAGCTATCTTGACTTTTATCTCCTCATCAGCTGGTCCGGCTGTGCAATCCAGCAGACGCAGGTTTTCCACACACACACCACCACTCCTGCCCCGCCTCCTCCACACACAGAGCTGTGACAGCTGATCAAGCTCCACAAACGCCAGGTAAACAGACAGGATGCACCGCAGCCGACACGTCGAAACCAGACGATCATGACAAACACTTGCGATCGGGTCCCCAATTAAACTCCTCACCCACCTATTTTTCTTCACACGCTTGCCAGCGCGTGAACCGCGAGCATGCCCGCGTCGCCCATGGATCCTCCTCTGAGGCAGGAAGGCTGGCTCACAGCGAAGCAGCTCCTCTGGTACCGAAGTCAGGAAAGCTGGAAGTCTTGAGGCAAGTTCTCCACAGTCAAAGCGAGACCACTTCCTGGCTGTGTCCCAAATATCAGAAAGTGCCTGGCGTTCATAAACCAGCACCGATTGAGTGTGTGTAACAGATAAAGATGCCACAAAAAGCGCAACAAGCGCCAGAAACAGTGAGGACGGGACAAACACAGAGACAGAGAGATGGTGTGCCATGACAGTCGGCGCCATCATCCCATCATATTATTCATCATTCATCATCATCATCATCATCATCATCACCATCATCATTACCATCATCACCATCATCACCATCATCATCATCACCATCATCATCATCATCATCATCACCATCACCACCATCATCATCATCATCATCATCATCACCATCATCATTACCATCATCACCATCATCATCATCACCATCATCATCATCATCATCATCACCATCATCATCATCATCATCACAATAAATTTGGATTCTTAATCTGGAACATTTATTCATTCGTATATATTTTGTTTTTATCATTTCTATCTGATGGTTGTTGTTTATCAGAGGAGGTGTCTTTGTGAAACCCCGCTCCCTGTACTGTTTCCTGTTTCCTGAAACGTGTTCAGATTGTGCACATGTTGCACGTGTGAATAAAGTTTGTTCGACTTTCAGACACACGGGGTGATAAACACACACACTCAAAGATCTATGTGTGTGTGTGTGTGTGTGTGTGTGTGTGTAGGTGTGTGTGTGGTTGACAGGAATGGTGTGCCCAAAGGTTTAACCTCCCCTCCCCCAACACACACACACATACACACACACACACACGCACACGCACACATTTGGTTCCACTTTTTCAGGAAACAACATCTGGCTGTGTGTGTGTGTGTGTGCGCGCGCACGCGTGTGTGTGTGTGTGTGTCTGTGTGACTATGTGACTGTGTCTGTGGTAAGCAGTACATCAACACACACACACACAGACCCCTCCCCCTCTCTGTGGAATGTGGAGCAGCTTTAAAGGGAATTCCACCTAAAAATTGAAAACAGGCTTATACGGCAGCAATGTAAAAACATGACCAAGTCACTGCT